CCTGCTGCAGGCCATCGCGTATCTATCTCAGCGTCGTCATGGGCAGCGTGGTTGAACACTCACACCCTCCTTACCGTCCCTCGATTGGCAGCCACCTCCCTTCACATCCCCGACACCAACACCTTCGTGTTGGCTTTGCCGCGATCTACCGTGATATCATGAATAGAACGACCCTTCAGAAACTGCTGGATACCTCTGGGTATCAGCCTGACAAACGCTGACTGTGCAGGTATCTTTCACTGGTATAACCGTTAGGTATCGGTGACACGTTCACGTGACAATCCGCCATTAAGGGTCTGAAGTCTTCATCTTCTAATGTACGGAGGATTCCGTCATATCGCTGGGTAAACATCTCTGTGCACTGTTTTGACTCTCTCTGTGCATGCTATCTGGCTACGCGACCTACTCAGATCTGTGATAGCATCTATTCATCCTGAGGAAACAACTGTCATGGAGCCTGACCCTGGCTCAACGTTAATGGATCGTCCTACAGAAACAAAACAATGCAACTCCAAAAATACTATATCATGCATAAAGCCAATACTCTTTCGTTTATATAATCAATTTTCTATATTTGCCCAGTAACGCGTACACCTGATAATGTGCTATCAGATTGAATCTAGCCGTTGTTGAATACAGGCTGCTCTTTGCTTAAAGATACCATCAGTGGGCGTCTCTTTCGAGGCTAGCTCTCACGTAACGGAGCACAGTTGGCACGTTCAACGTTATATCAAACACTCGACATGCTGACAACATCGTCGTACAAGACGTGGAAGAGGCAGACCCCGGCAATGTCATCAACGTGTTTGACTAAGACATACCGGCTACTTGAGGGCATCTCTTCAACACGCATGCGCGCAGATATGCACTTCATAAAATTGTGGTTTGTTTGACAAGGACATATTTATGACGTACTTGGGCTGCCGTAAGTCATTGTGAAGGTGGCCGCTCCTGGGGTGGGGAGGGGTATTTACTGCCCCTCCAGACAAGGCGTTTAAAGTTTTTATTGCCTGCGTTTCATGCGTAAGTGATATTCGAGAGAGAGAAAAAATGAATTCACTTGAAATGGTCATTCTTACTACTTAAGTTCATTCTTACAATATGACTATATCGGTGTTCGGTAATACCTATATCTAGTTCTTAATATCACATTGACAGTTGTTGATGCACAAGACTTTCGTCATAAAACAGTTGTTATAATACGATAATTGATCCATAGCTAATACATGAAGATTAAGGTTAGGATTGGCCTTAAGTAACCGATGCCAATAGCGGGATAGACGTGGTTCATACAAGACATAGCGTATAGTCGTATTACATGCGCACGGTAACCTTCATACCTGTGAGGACCGAGATAAACCACATACATCAGCATGTGTTGGTCCAAAAGTGGGAACGTCAGGGAAGGGCCTCTGGAACTCTCATTGGCTAAAGCCTATGGTATATGATATGAGGGGTAGTAGGCAAAACCATCAATTGTCCAGATATTGGGAATAATCGATTGTAGATGGGACTATCATGATTGATGTTTGGAGCAAAATCTCAGTTTGGTTAAGGTGACAGGCAGCCAATCATGTGCGATTAGCCATAAAGTGAGTGAGTGAGTTGGGTTTTACGCCGTTTTAGCAGTATTCCAGAAATATCACCTGTCCATTGACACCAGTGAGCTTCACACAATGCACCTATGTGGGGAGCGCTTTAACCACTGGGTAACCCCATGCCCGCATCCATTAAGATCTCACTACGAGAGGCGTGTGTTGTTGGGGACCAATATCAACCTGAGTCCCACGGGCGGAACCAAAATGGTTTCAAGAATATTTTCTGTACCATGAACACATCTTCCACAGCTGATCTCGTACTTTTAGTTAGTTAGTTAGTTATTTACTTTATTTAACGTCGCACGCACAACTAAGGTATTTCGGCGACGGGGTAGTACACTTATTAAGAAATGATGGGGAACAAAAAATAGAAATTTTGGAAGAATGGTGTTACTACCCAAAAATAGAAACAGAGTATTAAGGGAAATTTAAAGGGAAGGCCGAATTTAAAAAAGTAAGGAAAACTGTGAAATAAGTAAAGAGTAATAGAGTAACAGTTTCATTACGAATATATATGACATCTAGTTAAACAGATGCTATCACAACTTTCAGTCACGGCTATTGCTTATACTGCCATTGTTGTCCAACCTATTGTTGGACGGCTGTGTGATTTGATACCACTCAAATTTAAAACTACTCATTATAATTGACCCCGGGAGCGAGACACAGAAAACTAACTAGTGATTTTCGCACCTGATGAAATCTACATTGTGTGTAATTAGTGAACAATGCGATCCAATACCTGCCACTTAGATATCAATTAAGTGCCAGGGGTGTAGGATCAGCTGAGAGCGGATTGTCGTGGGGTGGTGACAGGTTGTGTTATTGGCGTTATACAGCATCATACAGCTTGGTGGAAGCTGGGGGATATATTACCTAGCACACCTTCACCCTGAGCACGTCATCAACTACCACAATACAGACGTGTAACACTGGGGCTGGGTTTTAATAGGGTATAGCACAATCCTAGATGACATGCCTCTAGGATGGGGAGAACGGTGGCACAAACAGTAATCTAACCTCTAGTTGAAACAATGACAGTGTATGCTTGTTCACTAAACTGTCGGCCAGGTGTATACAGTCATGTTTTATGGCGGCTGTAATGGAACAAACACAAATGGTTATTGGATGTAATGTATTTGATACAGGCATGCATTGTTTCAGTAACTGTTTTCGGTCCTTCAACATTTTGATAACGTTCGTAATCTTTTGTTCCCATCATGTTTTCCAGTGGATACATACATTCCTTTGCCTTTGCCTTCTATGCAAAAGAGATATTATTATACATTTTAAGACTGACAGGGGCTAGGGACTGGCATGCAGAGTTGTGGGGCATTTCACCCATCTGGTACATAGATACATACATACATACATACATACACACACACACACACACACACACACACACACACACACACACACACACACACACACACACACACACACACACACATATATATATATATCGCTCAGTGTTTCTCCAGAATAACGTACAGTTAATGAGTGAATGTAAAACGAGCACATGCTTTTAAACGCGTGTTCACAAATAGTCAAAGGCGTGTACTTTTATTTCTTGTTTAAATTCAAGAAAATCACATGAATGGCCACAGTCATATATAACGGACGTTAACTCAGAAGGGAATAGATGTCCTCTTCGTCCTCTTGCTGTGATGAGACACTGTGACCAATCACCTGCTGAACCTATAGTCAGTCCTTACTTCAGCACTGACACGTAATTAAAACGGCAGCTTGTTTATAACAGGAGATAAGATTCATGCTAAACCGAGTTGCGTTCTTCTTTTTGACAATCGAAAGGATTCTTATTAAATGAACAGACAACATTTATCGATAGCAAATGATAAGGCAGCTCGTGATACATGTCATCGCATCCCATTAGTGTGGATCGAAACTCATGCTGTTGATCACTGGATTTTCTGGTCCAGACTCGATTATTTACAGACTGCCGCCATGTAGCTGGAATATTGCTGAGTGCGGCGTTAAACACCAACCAAACCAAACGAGATAGGGTCTATCAGACGGTAATGGTGACTGACGGATAGTGATAAAGTATATTGAATATTCAGTATAGCCATATGCAGGATGGAGTAGAGCCATACGTCAGGTGTCCCTGGTTTGCTGCAGGGGAAACATCGCTATCTGGACATGGGAGCCTACTGTTGTATTGGTCTTATCGTATCTGTAATGTGACGTGAAGCAGGTCGGGGTAGAAGTTAGAACTGCCCTACGAGCACAGGGAATTCTGCTGCCAAATGCCATCATGTATTCAGCTACACTGTGTGTATATACATCCATATCACTACGAAGTGTAAACGGCAAACATCATATTACCAGGTGCTGACCGAAATCTACATCTCTCGTAAAAATGTCAAAGCAATATAATATCTGACATAGGAGTTCAGATGTTTACGAAGTGATAGCACATTGTTATGAAGGTAATAACAATTTGATGTCCTTGTCTTATATGACTTCACGAGATTTGGGAGTTTCTGTATACACGTGAATCACGATAACGTCATGCACGAGCAGTTTCATGTAATCCGCGTGCAATCCGTTGTAATGCATTGCATTCAAGTGTGTATATGAATATGTCAGATTTAATTACATCAAATCTGGTTAATTTCAAGGCCAGGTTGTAGTTAAGGATAAAGTGGCACCTTTGTCGCCGCACACCGGACCGTGAAATGCTAGTTTGTCTTTAAGTCCAGATCCTATATTTTTCTACCTTCCTATGTCAAATTCAGATTTGTCACAATATTGTGTTAATTGGCCTCAGTAGATAATCCCCTCAACAAACGTTGTTGTAAGCCCCTGCAACAGCTTTCTGAGGGAGTGTTTGCTTACTCTTGTATCAAGATGAGTTTTGCAACTGAGGTTTCCCCGCGTTCAAGCTAAACCCGGAAATGCACTTAGGACGAAGAAATTAGATATTTCATTAATCATGTTTAAAGTGTTCAAGGAAAGATTTAGTTTCATTTGAAGCTCCCTATCATGTACCTTTAGCAGTATTTGGTTTCGACACATGGACATACCCGCACCTCTTGCAACCACACCCGGGAAGTTATTTAACTTGTCATGTAATACAACTTTAAATCGATTTTTAACATTTTTTGTAAAGTTCATTTTTAAAAATATATTTACATATTTGCAAAGTTTTTATTATTCATTTATATTGAATAAGGTCTTGGTGTAATCAAATTTAGTAAAACGCAATAAATTATACCAATAAACTTACATCGTAATCCAGTTAGGAAAATATGAATGCCCCGCCCCTTCGTTTTCATTGGCTAGCTGTTTTGCTATCGCGTGCTGTGATTGGCTTGAGAGCTGGGTGACATGCGTCAATCAAAACTTTTCTGCACGGAGTGTTTATTCAGACAAGGGAGCGTCGTGTGTATATAGCTTGACCAGCTGAGCGGGCGTGCACGTGGAGGTCACAGTCTACATACACTTCGTTGTACAGTGACGCTTGGACGACACACTTTATTCACGGACATATAAGTGTGCTTCATTACACCGACCTACCTGTAGCACCAGCATGACGGTGATCACCTACATGTGTTTATCTGTATTGTTAAGTGTGTCCTTACCCGGAATATTATCACAGAATCTATGCAGTCAGTGTGACTGTACAATCAGGTAAGTCAACATTTATTTTGAGTAAACGTGAACTTAAAAATGCACTACTCCTCTACAAGATGTGTCTAAGGTGTTTTCTTGTATGCATGCATGCATATTTATTTAATGTCGTACAGTAAAAGCAGGACAGTGTCTGCACAGGTACACGTGAACTAAGATCAAACAATTCAAGTCTTCAGTCATGGGATGTTCCTGATTTTAAGGTGTTGGCTTATTTGTGGTCATATCGTGTGGATGTGAATAGGAAATGTTGGAGGTAGTGATTTACCCGAGTTTATCACCTGTATGTTGGTATTGACAGTTGTGTCATAGTGGATACAACGATCTTGTCCAGACAGGTGGAATTCTCACAACAACAAAATTTCAGCCCGCAATATCGACCACCACAACCTGTGTAGTTGTAGTCGCTGTCGCCAAGGCCAGCGGTGTGTCATGATGCCTGATGCCTGTGTTTGAACGCCGAGGACCTTCACGTCCCCCTGGTTTGACCTGCTCGTCCCCTTGTTTTGACCCGCGTACACCTACCTGTGTGTCAGAACCGTTATGATGGGAGGGATAGACCTAGGTGAGGGGTAGCGGAGTTGCGTCTGTGAAGAGGGACAGGTATATAAACATCGCATGGGACACAACTATGTGGAATCCTTGTATTTGAAAGTTCAACCAACAGCGTTTGAAAAGTCACTTATTGAACCATTGGAGATTTCGTTGCACTTCGGTGTACTGAAGAGACTGCGCGATTATACGGACGCTTCTTTTAATTGCCGCCCCTGTTTTATTGATGGTCTTAAATCTAAAATTCTGGATATATACATGCCATAACATTTATTGTTTTACATTCCTCCTCTTTCACTATAAACATGAGTGTTCAGTTGTCCTTCGGATGTGTCACGTACATACTCTGGTGGAGTCGCTGGCCTCCAAACAAATTGGTGCAGGATGAGGGGAAGTTATGGCAACAGCCGCCCATTGTTTACCTTGACGCCATTAGCTGCACGTTGTTCACATAATATTGACACGATGAGGGCTATCTTTCGTGTCTAAAGTCAACAGCATGTTTGTGTGGAGGTGAAAGGCAGGGTGGGGGGTAAATGAGTGTCGCAAGAATGAAATGGAACTGGAGTTTAATAAAGTTGTGTATGTATAGTGCAAGTTACATGACGTTTATGACCATCACAATCTGGGGAGAATATGGTTATTCGCCGTGGAACTGGAGTGATATTGCAGCGGCGTAAAACCATACTCACTCAGGATATCACTGAAGATTAAATACATATATACAGTGCTCAGTAAAGACACTGGCTTTTAAGAATTACTGATGGTGTGTTCAGGCACGTCTGTGTACGTTGTATAAATACGATCGTATGATTACGCTAATCTATCCACATGGTCTGTTTTCCTCGTCATCATGTTATCATGGCTGTCCCAGGTGTATCTGGTCACCACTATCTGCCTTATCACACTGACCATGTGTAGACATCACAATTACACCTTACGCAGCTCTAGACTTGTAAAGTCACCAGTCTCGTGTTCAGACATGGGTTAACACACAGATAATACTGACAGCAGGATGCAATCATCACCCAGATAAAGGTATAATCCACACATACAGACATACAGATACAGTCGACGTAGACCAGGCTACGCTGACCTTGACATTGCACGCCACCAATGTGCTGAGTACGGCGTTAAACAACAAACAAATACATGTACAGCTAACCGTAATACACTGAAGGAGACTTCCCCCATTCGTAAGTAATCCATGGAAATGTATTCATCCTATTCATGTTGATTGCACATATATTCTTTCCTTCAGTGACCCCGATGGCGGTGACAGAGCTATCCTGAACGTCAAGCCTCGATGTGAGGAGGGTCGTGTCACGTGGCTTAATGCTTACGGCGCTGTTCGCATGGAGCTTGCAACATCCACTGCAGGAGATGCTAGACTCTGTATCCGTGTACAAAGTGACAATGTCAACACGGTTGTATCCCAGGAAACGGTAACCGAAGTTCCTGGAAATTACAGACTGAAAATTCTCGATGACGTTCATGTTCGGTTATCCCCCTTGTTTACAACGCGAGGTCAAGGCAAGGAGCATTGTATATCTGCTTCCGGACCAGTACACCTATACTTAGAGACGGAACGAAGCGACGAAGATGTTGGTGTTGCGAGAGTCAACGTTCACTACGACATTGAGAAAATATCCAACAGTCTTCGGTACAGCCCAATGGAAGGTGAGAAGTTATACCTTTATTATTTATAAAATTATATATATTTAAAATTATTATTATTATTATAAAGAAAATGCCCATATTTAAAATCTATAATGATCGGAAGAGTCGGGTTAACTGTGCAGAGAAGACGCGTTTCTGCTGTTAGGTTCAACACCACGCCACTATCAAAACCGGTCAGTTTGTTCCAACGACAAAATTACTGTGTTAATGTTAGACTTAACTACGCATCTATCACCTAGCTTTTTGTATTGAGCCTCTTAATGGGGTGACGTTCATCGGCGACTGTCGCCGTAACCATTTCCTCCTCCGTTATTCTCGCGTGACAACCATCAATCATATGACATGCGCAGTAACGACCATCAGGTTGCTGACAGGCATTGTTTCGACTTCCTGCAAAACATTACGAATGTAAGATAACCTCAAAATTGTGAATGTCTTGTTCTAAGGTTTGTTTTAACAGCCTCCAGTGGTCGTTTATACCAGTATTGTTCATTAACTGTCACTAATGATCACATTATTGTGACAAGTGCACTTTAAAAACACAGTCACACTGCGAACTATTGCCAATATTGCTGCCAACATTGCGATACATGACCCAGCGTGTTGATCGCACGTGCCCATGTGTAACCAACGTCACACGTCAGGCGGCTTGTGTTGTTTCCCGTTTTGGATATGCACGCTTCTGTGTTTTAGCCTAAACAAGTCGATGGCATAAATATGCAGATCGATTTCTATTTACGAAATGAAAATATTTAAGAACCTGCTAAAATCGTTTTGGTTTACTTTATCCTTCACTTCGTAGTACACACCTGCTTTTTCGGTAGTGGATCGAACATGGACGTCGATCAACCCGGGGCAATGTGCAGGTTTATCTATCCTTGCAGGACTTACCCTTCAAACAAACAGTTACTAATACTGTCCTCCCTTCTCGTTACAGAGTGTCGACCCTGCAGCGATGCCGAGCTACTCAAAGCTTACTGTTCCAGCGATTTTGGTAAGAATTATATTCTTCATATTGAGAAGATACTGCAGATACATTCAGCACATAAATTATTATCAAGCGTAGATACAATTGTAGGTTTGAATTGAGTGTATAAATTCTCGGAATCATTTGTATTCTCGCCCAGAAAGACATACCACAAAGCGCCTCACAATTTCAAGCTTCTCTGTCAAAGAGTTGATTACTGATAGACCTTTGTCCTGACCTTGTCATGATTCCTAGACCAGGCCGGTGTCCTGTGTGGACATCAGTACCCTGATATAACCTGCGCTGGCCCTGTCGTCGGGCCACATACAGGTGCGTAGCGGCGACATCAAAGCTGGATCTGATTAGAGGAGCTAGCCAAATCTGGACATTCCATTGTTGCCCGGATGTAGAAGTCATAGGTCTCGGAGGATTCCAACAGCAACATCCTAAGATGATGAGGCTATTTGATGTTGAAAGGTTCAGATGCCATTTAGGCTGTCCTAATCGTGTGTTAATGGCCTGTACGTGACCGGCAAAGGATAGGGTATTTGTATTATGTTAACTGGTTATAAAACGATTACTATACAACTCTTTTTCAATTTGTCAAATATCAGCATTTTGTCTTTTCTGTTGCAGTTGCCATAGGAACCATTGATGACATAAACCACGACAATGACGTCAGTCACATCCAGGTTTCTGTTACCAAGATGATATCCCAGATAGAGTCTGTCTTCCAGAAACCAGCAGCTGGATGGACCCGTCCCCACGAACTGAAAGGCGTGGTACACGCCCCCGTCCGGTGTGGCATCAGGCACGGGGTGGGGCAGTTCTTGTTCACAGGCCGCGTCCGTCTGGGTCGACCAGTGTTGCAGTGTGCCCCCCGTTATGAACAATGGAAGAGTGTTCTCGAGATCGCGCGGAATAACGAATTACTGGAATGTTCATATGGTTGAGGTGCTATGCACGGTATAACTCAATCCTTCTCAAAAGGCTCTCCAGATTGCCTGCTTGATCTGCGATCACACGTCACCCTGCGATGACCACGTTAGTCCCTGTGCTAGCGACACTGCCGTCACCCTCTCCGCGGACATGTCACCCAGGTTGACCAGCCAAGTCATGTCTGGTGGTTAGATCGGATCCAGCTCAGGAACAAGATCAGTTAGTTTGGTCACGATGAAGACGAAGCTATAGAACACAGACTGAACATCCAGAATGACAGCCGGATCCTGCGACCATGCCGAATGTCCAGATGTCCTGACATGACAAGCCGTCACAAGCCGTCACAAGCCGTGACACTATGCAGTCACTGGGCACTGGGCTTCAGTACTCAAGTATGTTGAGTACACGTCCAACATCAGATGCAGCTTTAATACAGCACCATCTGAGATACGTTGATTCCACAATACTATAGACTAATCTATAGTGATATTGTACATTTATATTATTAAAATTATATGTACACGAAATTTGTCATATTTCGGTAATAAAATGATGCCTAAAAATACGTGTTGAGTCTTTCAGTTTTATGGCTTGCCTCATGACCTACGTAAAGAGTAAGTGAGTGAGTTTTGCATTTCACGCCGCTTCTAGCAGCATCCCAGCAATATCACGGCGGGGGACACCAGAAATGGGCTCTACCTAAAAGAAAATATATACTACATGCCATACGTAGGTACGCTCTATTCTCTCAATTACTTATCTGTCAACCCTATATGGTATTCTATCTTTAAAGTCGAGATTTTGTATTCCCTTGTATGTACGTAAAATTGCATTTCCAATATTATGTCTCAAACAGTCAACAACGTGTGTGTGTGCTTGCGTGCGGATGTGTACGTCTTAGTAGTAACAGCTTACCGTACTGTTTATCTTACCTTACACTGATTGTAAGGGCTTGTTGGTCGCTATATTTTGATAGACATGTCTACAGCGTTATCTCAGCGGTGTTGTGTGTATGTGGGAGTGGGGGCGGGGAGGATGGAGGTAGATCAGCACCTGCCGTCAAACATTGTATCTGTTGCTAATCAGACTTGGGTTGACCGGCGAACGTTTCAACCACTACACTAACCCACCGCCCCATATAGGTGAGCTACAGTGTTTTGACGCTACTTTCCTTACCAGGTTGGCACCATTTTAGCCTTGCTCCAAGGCTGTACTGAATGCTGAGCCCATGGGCATATAGTAATTCCATCCTTCGAAGAGGCAAGTCTAGATAAGCGGGGAGGATCACAGTCTGTTATGTTTTATTTTTTAAAAATTATCATTTAAAGTATTAATTTTTACCTTAGACAGACAGACATTGTATTCAGTAAAATGCATTTACCTTGGAGACAAGTGCAAGTCTAGCATCATCCGTGATGAGTAATGTACTGACTAGAGTATGGCGGGGAGAGGGTACCCAGATGTGTGAGTGCCCTACTGCATTCTCACGCTGCAGCGGCACACACCCGGTACATCTCCAAGTGTGTAACCTGTGTCTACACATCGGCAGCCTCAGTGTCTGCCCACGGTCACCCTGTACGACATCACCGACCCGGGGTGTGTAGTACGTGTGCATGACGCACTATGTATTTTATATGTTCAGGGGGTAGAGGATTGCATGCGCATATACTCGTGTGCATTGTGTCTGTTCACCCGCAGTGTAGTATAAGTACATGTCGCCAGACGCTCTCACTGCAGCGCTGTAGCTGTTCCCACGGTGTGTATAGCGTCAAGGAAGGGGGACCAGGGAGGGGGGACGACAAGCTCGTGACATAACGCTCTCGGTTAAATGGTTTGTGTCATCTTATGGGGCGATATCCACGTTACAAGTTTTCATACTTACCCATATTATTGTACATGCAGCACACCCGGCACGGAAACCATTCAGGGGGAGCCAGGTGTTTGAATGGCTACACAGTTGGGATTACTGTCGCTGAGAAACATACATCATCAGTTTCGGTTAGAATTTCTGTCGAAAGTTTCTCTTCGTGGGAGGACAGACCTGGACAATAGACTAGCGCTTAGTCTCTGAATGTATATAATTTTGATTGTAACAAATAAACCCATTTAAACTGAAAAGGAGCCCCAGGGAGACCAGAAGATTCACTTCAGAAATCTTGACTTGCTTCATTTAAGGCTTTAGCATTGCAGGGAGGGCAAGGCTGTAGGGAAAATAATATGGCTCTGGGACTGAGGGAAAGACTACATTGCAGGGAGGGCTAGACTGTAGGGAAAATAATATGGATTAGGGACTGTGAGATAGACTACATTACAGGGAGGGCTAGGCTGTTGGGAAAATAATATGGTTCAGGGACTGAGGGACAGACTACATTGCAGGCAGGGCTAGGCTGTAGGGAAAATAATATGGTTCAGGGACTGAGGGACAGACTACATTGCAGGCAGGGCTAGGCTGTAGGGAAAATAATATTGTTCAGGGACTGAGGGACAGACTACATTGCAGGGAGGGGCTGTACGGAAAATAATACGGTTCAGGGCCTGAGGGACATACTACAGACTACATTGCAGGCAGGGCTAGGCTGTAGGGTAAATAACATGATTCAGGGACTGAGGGACAGACTACATTGAAGGGGGCTAGGCTGTAGGAAAATAGTATGGTTCAGGGACTGAGGGAAAGACTACATTGCAGGCAGGGCTAGACTGTAGGGAAAATAATATTGTTCAGGGACTGAGGGACGGACTACATTGCAGGGAGGGGCTGTAGGGAAAATAATATACTTCAGGGTCTGAGGGACATACTACATACTACATTGCAGGCAGGGCTAGGCTGTAGGGAACATAATATGATTCAGGGACTGAGGGACAGACTACATTGCAGGCAGGGCTTGGCTGTAGGGAAAATAATATGGCTCTGGGACTGAGGGAAAGACTACATTGCAGGGAGGGCTAGGCTGTAGGGAAAATAATATGGTTCAGGGACTGAGGGACAGACTACATTGCAGGGAGGGCTAGGCTGTAGGGAAAATAATATTGTTCAGGGACTGAGGGACAGACTACATTGCAGGGAGGGGGCTGTAGGGGAAAATAATATACTTCAGGGTCTGAGGGACATACATACATTGCAGGCAGGGGCTAGGCTGTAGGAAAATAATATGATTCAGGGACTGAGGGACAGACTACATTGCAGGAGGGCTAGGCTGTAGGGAAAATAATATGGCTCTGGGACTGAGGGAAAGACTACATTGCAGGGAGGGCTAGGCTGTAGGGAAAATAATATGGTTCAGGGACTGAGGGACAGACTACATTGCAGGGAGGGCTAGGCTGTAGGGAAAATAATATGGATTAGGGACTGTGAGATAGACTACATTGCAGGGAGGGCTAGGCTGTTGGGAAAATAATATGATTCAGGGACTGAGAGACAGACTACATTGCAGGCAGGGCTAGGCTGTAGGGAAAATAATATTGTTCAGGGACTGAGGGACAGACTACATTGCAGGGAGGGGCTGTAGGGAAAATAATATACTTCAGGGTCTGAGGGACATACTACATACTACATTGCAGGCAGGGCTAGGCTGTAGGGAAAATAGTATGATTCAGTGACTGAGGGACAGACTACATTGCAGGCAGGGCTTGGCTGTAGGGAAAATAACATGGTTCAGGGACTGAGGGACAGACTACATTGCAGGCAGGGCTAGGCTGTTGGGAAAATAACATGATTCAGGGACTGAGGGACAGACTACATTGCAGGGAGGGCTAGGCTGTAGGGAAAATAATATGGATTAGGGACTGTGAGATAGACTACATTGCAGGGAGCGCTAGGCTGTAGGGAAAATAATATGGTTCAGGGACTGAGGGACAGACTACATTGCAGGGAGGGGCTGTAGGGAAAATAATATGGTTCAGGGCCTGAGGGACATACTACATACTACATTGCAGGCAGGGCTAGGCTGTAGGGGAAAATAATATGATTCAGGGACTGAGGGACAAACTACATTGAAGGGGCTAGGCTGTAGGGAAAATAGTATGGTTCAGGGACTGAGGGAAAGACTACATTGCAGGCAGGGCTAGACTGTAGGGAAAATAATATTGTTCAGGGACTGAGGGACAGACTGACCTGGACAACAAACAGCACAGTTGAGTAGAGATAACAAGAACAGAATTGATAAAACGACAAAAATGTTTTCTAATGTAACCTGTGTTTTTTTGCTACTAGACATATAGGTGCCTTTTGTTGAAGCGTTACAAATTTGGAACTCGCAATTTGGAATTCCTTGGGCTATAAATGTATGATAGGGGCTTACAGTGGTGTTGTTGTAGGACCATGCTTGAGTTGTCCTATACCACCTACACAGAGTGTTGGGTCGTGATAAAAAACAACATTATCACAACAGAACAGTAAATAGCAATGATCTCTTTGAAAAGCGTGAATAAGAAGCTGGGACAGCATGATAATCTCGCTTGTGATGAGTTCTATAAGTTGTACTGTTTTGTTCTCGACGCCCGCTGTCATAAAGAGCTGTCATATTGAGGGCCCATCTCTGACAGAAGCGCCACCTGGTGGGAGGTAGGATGTAATGTACATTAGGAGGTACAGCAGACCCTGTTGACTCGAGAAGACCCGGAGCGTGACCGAGCTGGTCTTGTCGACACTGCTGAAGTGTGATATATCTCAGCATCATAATGTTCTCAAGACAACTAGACCACGACACGACGTTTAAATCTGAGTTTTGACATTTGAACCATATGTTGAAATCCAGCTGTGATGATGACTCGATTTTTGACAGCATTATCTCCCTTGGATGCCCTTCACCTCACTATGGAATCTGGTAATGTTTTTTCTAATCTTGCGCATCATTATGTTCAGCTGCCTGATACGATGGAAGAAACGTTTATACAGTGTTACCATCGCAACAACAGCTTTGTATGACGTTAACTCCGAGCGAACCCTCCCATTTTTATGCGTTTAGCTGATGACTGCGGCCCAGTGTTTTACTAGGAACCGCTGATTGTGACGTGAACGTCAACTTTCCTCTAAACCACGTTTAGTTACCTCTGTATAAGCTTACACACTTAACCTCAGTATTCTACACAGTAGAGTGCTTTCTAGACTTGCACAAATCTCTAAGGTAATAATTCATAGTTTCTATGATAATTTCTAAAACAAACATATAAATAACAGACTTTGGTCCTTAGACCTTGGGTGTGCTGTCTCCTTACCTAGGCTTGTCTCTTTAAAGGATAGAATTATTATACATGTATGGGATTAGCACTCAGTACTGGAGCAAGGCTAAGTGCTTTCGTATGTGCACACTTTACCTCCATATTCAACTTAAACCCATTACACAGTTTAGGTATTCAACTTAAACCCATTAGGGTACTTTTATTATTACACATTGAGTCTACATTGCCAACGTATACACATTGGGGAACTTCAATATATACACAATTTACCTCCGTTGGCAAACCTCTAGGCAAAATGGTACTAAATATTCAACTTATACATAATCGTGTACGTTTTAATCACACAATTTAATTTCATATTCAAGCGATAAAAAATCAC